TTTTTTTTTTTTTTTTTTTTTTTTTTAAAGACAATACTACAGAACAAATTGCTAAATATTTCTTACTCTGATCCACACGGAGAGACGAAAGAGATAGGCCATTCCTGACATTCTGTAAAAGAATGGTTTTAAGCAAGGAGTTATATATAAAATGTATTCAATTCGAACAACTAATTTTATGTGAGGCAAACACAAAAGCACTTTTTTTTTTCCCGATAGAAAAGGTTGTATTTACAGAAGAGAGGATGGCGACCTCCATCCTGGCACCGGCTCAACCATCGCCCACTTTTTCTGCACAACATACGCCTGGATATCCTCAATAGTCCGTGATGAAACATATTTGCGGAAATTGCCATCTTTAGCGCTGTGGATGAGATGGCTTATTTTAGTATTATACTTTAAATGTATGGCATTTTTAATAAAAAAAATAGAACCTAAAAGAAAATTTTGAAAGCCAGTTTTGTCATTACACCTTAGGGAATATAAATTTAGCCATCTGAGGACTTACTGAAATATAGTCGGCAGTGTCGTAACCAGAAACCTCCCACTCAGACCTGCAGAACAAAAGAACAGAGGACGGATATATTGATGCAGAAATGCAGATAGAAGAGCGTGAACCTAAAAGAAAATTTTGAAAGCCAGTTTTGTCATTACACCTTAGGGAATATAAATTTAGCCATCTGAGGACTTACTGAAATATAGTATATATTTAGCCTGCAGAACAAAAGAACAGAGGACGGATATATTGATGCAGAAATGCAGATAGAAGAGCGAGCACATCCTATACCGGCCAAAAAAATCCTTTCGGCATGGGAAGGCGGTGAATGGTCTATAGCAGCGCTGTAATAAGAGTAAAGCATGACAGCTTTCTGACAGTAACGGGCGTTTTCTCGCCGCCAGCTGAGACTTCCACAGAAACGCAGGCGAGAGGAGGCTGCAGGTGGAAGCACAAGACAACAGACTCCATTCACACCTGCATCATTAGCCGCTTAAATGCAATCTTTGCTTGCATTTGAAATGCAATTAGTGTTCAAAGAGAATCGTCTAAACGGCTCTGGATATAATGGTATTACCGGTAATAATAAAGGCTTTCATCTGCTTGTGATGTCACTCAGTGATGGCACACATCAAATATAGCTGATAATAACTGCAGGAGGAATTCAAATTAGTCATCTGTTAAAGAGGTCATATGATGCGATTTCAAGTTTTCCTTTCTCTTTGGAGTGTTACAAGCTGATTGTGCATAGATAAGATCCCTGAAGTTGCAAAGACTAAAGTCTCAAAACCAAAGAGATATTCTTTATC